TGCTGTGTAGGGCAAACTTCTACCCCTGTGCTGATCGAGTCTTTCGCGTGTCCCTGTAATGTGTGCCTTGGTCAGAAGACCTTTGTATTTTGGTTCTGGTTGCGATGTTCTAAGAACCTGTAAAGGTGATACGAGGGATTCCTCAATGGTCCGCAGATGGGTGAGCAACGGCAAAAGTATCTGGGCGACCTCAGAGGTTTAGTCAGTGTTCATGTAAATTGCGAGCACCTGTATAATCTTGCAGGGCAGTAAATCCTCACCTCCCAAAACACATGCCTGAACATTGTGTCGGATTTTTGTTTTGGATCTTATTCTGAAGACGGTTTTTTTTCTTTTTCTGAGAGTGTTCCGTTGATCAGGCATGAGCTGTTCCTTCCCCAAACATATTCCCAGCATGGGGGGCGGGTCAGGGGATCATAATCTATGCAAACATTTTCCGAGTTGGAGAGTAGCTTTTGGCAGAGGCCCCAAAGTGCAGGATCGTCAGAACCCACCCCCACCCACTCCTGCGCAACTATCAACAAGCTCATTGATTTGTTAAGCACTTAATGAGTCATTGAAGCGACGGAGCTTTCTTACTCTTTCCAGAGTGTGAATGCCTGAATTGGTGAAGATCCATTCGATTACTCGGGCTAAGCCGCCTTGAAACGCCCACCAGCTTGGCGAGCAACCTGCAGCCTTCTCCTGATCACTTTTGTCCCCTGGAGGTGCCCCGACCATGTACCTCCCAACAAGAGGGCACCGAGATAGACACGGGGAATGTACACAATACAATTTGCAAGCTTATGTTATATATACATACATATACATATATTTACTTACTCACAAAAGGACATACATATACATTCATAAACACACATTAGTATGTTTATACGAGGCTTGCGCATTGGCTCGTGGTTTCTTTTCATGATCCAGGAGCACGTGCATTTGTTGGAGGATCAGCTAGGCAGGCCGAGTCGCGATATTGGATTCGTCGCTTGAGCTAGCCATTGTCACAAACCCACAGACCACCAAACACCAAAAGCCGCTGGTTATAGAACCCGCTCGAATGAGGTTTGTTAGGTGTCCCGTTTTGTGCCTGGTCCAACCCAAACATGCGTTTGTGGCCCTTCACCACTCGTTTTTGGGTGTGTTCCTGAATTCTCTGTTTTCGAAACCTTCCTTACTTGCCAGTGAACTGACCTTAGACCGTTCTTCTTGATCCACTGGCCCAGTTTGTCGAAGCTCCCCTGCCCATTGTGAAAGCCTCAAAGAAACCCCGCCTCGCAAGCTTCAGCTTGGTCTTCATCAAGTCCACCGCAATTTGCGGAGATGTCTCTGGATTGCGGAGATCTGGCTAAACGATCTTGGGATCCGTTGATGTTTTTGTTGGCCTTTCACCCGCCAATCTTCTTTTCGCGGGACCCGTACGAGTTCTCACAGACAGTTAGCTTGCACCAAACAACTTTGCTTAAGAATATGCTTTTCTCCTGTTGGTATAAAGAGAATCTCTCATTACTGGACTAATTGTCATTTTTGCCAGGGGAGCTTAAGCAAATGGAAGACATACCCAACCCGTTTTTGGAGTTGGGAGCGAAACTGAGAAGGGCTTCAGATTGGAGACTGTGGGTCTGTCTCAAAATCGGGGAACCCTTTTTTGCATGCGTTCTTTAAGGGAAGGCAAATAGAAACCACCTGGTAAGACCTTTTCGGGCTTTTTCTAAGGCGCCCCTGCCCCGGCAAGAAGGGCTTTGAGCCTTGGTATCCCGCCACCCAGTGCCAGTTTTCGTATTTCTGCTGGCGGGGTGTCCCTTTGAGATCAAGTACCAAGAATAGTGGGCCCTTGCTTTTCCCCCATGACTGCTGAAATTTGCATTTTGACCCGGACCACCTGCATGGTTTCATATTGTCAGAAGTGCTTCTTGGGCTTCGGACATCTTCCCATGCAACATCGTGTGCCTTCCAATGTGTGGCCTTCTTCCGCCTCGTTTTGGCACGATTGAAGGCTCAACGTGTCACACGCAGGAAGCTCTTTGAGGGGCTGCATTTGAGGGTAACCAGTGGGATCAAAAGTGATCACAGAACAACATTTGACCTGACCGACCTCACATCTTGTGTGCCGACGTCACCGGTGATGAAGAATGTCGGTTCTTTGCTTGGGGGATTTCGTTTGTTCGGCTGTGCGTGTCATTTATGGTTCACCCAGAAGACACAAGCCTGGTGACCTTTGAAAATCGTGAGTCCCCCAACCAGCAACTATGTGAAAACCATTGTACTTTGCCCAGCAAGCATAAGGATCCATTTGCAAGAAGGTTACCTTTGCAGTGAAGAGATTTGTCTGGTTTTGTTTGTGCTTATGCGTGCAGGCTCACCTGTGCTTTCTCAGGGACGTCCTTGTTTCACATTTCATACTTCACGCAGACCAATTCTTAGTGATGACCTGAATGAGAAACTTCCGTGACAGCCACTCGCACCCATCAATGCCTCATTCTCCCAGCTGCCCCCATTCCGCGCTTCGAAGGCACGCTGCCTGCCAGGCAGGGCGCGTTTGAAAGTGTCTCTTCTGCTTCTTGTTGTCTCTGTGGGAGCCCAGAGGTCTACCGGCTGAGGTCTCAACACTCTCCGTTCCCCCCCCCCCCCGTGTCCCTTCCCCCCCCAAAAAAGAAAGACAAAAAGGAAAATGAGGCAGGGAAACCTCGTCCGCTCCCCCCCCAACCAAACAAACAAAAACAGAAAACTTGCGATACCCCCCTCGCCAGCCCGCCGGCCCTGATCCTGGCCTCTGGCGGCTTCGGCAAAGCGGCAGAGGGCCATTGGGGCAAGTGAGCCGCTCGACTCAGCGAGTTGGGGCGGGGGGGTCCATGTGCCCCCAGGAAGCCCCAAAGGCACCATCCTTCAGTTCCAACAGCCAGAAGGAAAGGAGGAACCTGGCTACTTACTGGAGGAGTATTTGGGATCCGTTCAACCCACTTCAGTAGGTTCTTTAACCAAAAGTGGAATCCACTCAACCCATTTGAGTAGGTTCCATTGCCTGCAAAATATGGTGTTTATCCAAAAAGCAGCTCGGGTTTTGGGCACTGCTCAAGTGAGCGAAGGAAGGGTCCACCAGTCTCAGTCTGTGGTTCGCATCCGCTTGTGGTCGCCAGCCACCCCTTCGTGCCCGGTGAAGGGACCGTAGCAATGACCATGAGCTCAGGGTTGGGGTGACGCCTGAGCGAGGGTTTCAAGCAGTGAGTGAAGGTTGTTGGAGCGAATCACCATTTGTCCATTTGTCTTTTGGAACATGCCATGTTTGTCCTTTGCAGGGAATGTTCAGAATGACCTTGTCCGCTCTTTCACTGAGAAACATGTTTTGTCCCTGTGACAAGTTGTGTTTTCCGACAAGCACAAGTTTGTTTTTTGCTGGGCGGTCGTTCCGAGCATCTTGAGAGGCAAGCTCCCTGTTGGCGACCTTTTAGACGCACTCCCCCCCAGAAAAAGGAATGAGATATAGGTCCGGCCTTATTCTGAACAGGGTATTGGGACGACCGGTTTAGAACCAGGTGGTAATTGCGCACATTTGCTGACCATTTTCTTTAGGAGTCCCGGGACTTCATGGAAAGACCATCGTAACAATCGATCCACTCGGCAGCGGCAGTTCCGTTCCTGGACCCTTGGTCTGATGTTCTCACCTGGTGCAACGGGCTCAACCTCGGCCCTTGGAATTGGTACCTGGCCCCATCACTCCGGGGCGGTACCCCGAAACCCGCGCCTTTGGAGCGTGGTGAAAATGGCGCGGAATCTGATGGGCGCGGCGGCCTTTTGGGAAAGTGGTGGTGTGTGGGGGGGGGGGGGGGGTTCTGACAAAAAAGGGAGGGTGCTTCACCCAAAAAGTCAAGAACGACCCAGGTGTTTTGTTTTCGGGCCCCTTTGAAAGTGCAACTGGTTCTTGGGAAATCCCAACCGGGCGATGCGGAGGGGGGGGGGGGTTGAGGATTCCCCCCCAAGCAAAGGGGTTACAGTATAATAAAATGGGGAATGGTCCCAACCATACGGAGCGGCCGGACTGCAATCCCTTGCGAATTTTGGCGGTAATTATGTTCTGTTGCTGGGTAAAAAGGATTTTATTCCTCAATCGGGAGTCAAGTTCAAAAGGCAAACCCATCGGGACGACCATTGCGCAAACCGACTCGAAGCTTTCATGCGGCGTTATCCGTCTCCGTTGGAGAGCAATCCACTGCTTGAGATTGTGGGGCATCCTGCTTCCCAATTTGCAGTGGTTGAGATTTCGCGCAATCGCAGCTGCGACAACAGCTTTTACCACCTGCCTGCTTGGATGTAGGATTCACCTTACACATTTCGGTTGAAAACGTGTATCTTCATCTCCCTCCCGCCAACAAGCCCGCGTGCCTGTCTGCTTGCTTGCTTCTTTGGTTGGCTGGCGAAACTCCAGTGTATCCAGCTGCGTTCTCCGGTCGCTGACATCCCAGGTGATTTCCAGGCAGACTGCTAGGGTTTAGCCAACTTGATGTTAATCATCAACTTCTAGGGGTGTTCCCTCTCCAAAAGTGATGAACCCCCACTAAAGCCAGCAACGCCTCCATAGTATTTAGTAGTGCACACCCACTTACAAGTTATGTAAGTTCCCCCTAGCGGACTGAATCCTGCAAAGGAGGCACAACCCAAGTGGCGAATCTCAGCAGTATGTGAGTCCGCTTGGATCAAGGAGTTCAGAGACGAACAACAAGGGCCATCCAGCAAGTGGAACCAGTACGCGCCCATCGAATGTTACTGGATTCATGCCTGCCAACCAACGAAGCAAACATACATTTGCGCGCACACACACACACATGCCAGCCGCATGCAAAGAAACAAGGACTGATGTGCAAGACACTGGCAACCAACAAGCGTCCAACCGTGCAAGCGTCCATGTAGGTGTTCGCTACGGCGCCTGTTTTGGGTTTTAGATGGACCTTTTTCCAAAATGCAGAGAGATGTTAATGAGACTTAGTTGGAGGACATGGATCCACACCATGTTGAAAATTGGAGCCCTCCCCAAGCTCAGCCGTCGCTCGCCGGATGGTGTCGCCCTTAAAGGAGGGGTTGGGAGGTTAAACTTCCGAAACCAGTAGGAAACTGCGACACGTATCACATGGGCATGCCATGTGCAATTCCTTTTGGTTTCCCCCAAAGCATCAAAAAGGGATGCCAAGCCTGAAAAATGGCCGATTTGGGAAGCCAAGTGTTCGGAGGTGATCCCAACACATAACGCTATCATGTAGGACCCCAAAAGGAACATATTTACATATATATATATATACATTAGATAACACAGGATGGCAAGCAACTGGCCCCCTCCAAGATTCACTTGAGGTTGCATGTAGAAAGTAGAAGCTATCTTAATGAGATTTAATGAGGTAGTATGGCAGGTTTGCTTCGAGACATGACAGCAGGGTTTACATTTCAACCCCGGAAACTGTCAACTACGACAGTCCCTTAAACCAGCTGATTCAGAGGTCCCCTTGGTAAAGTCAGAGCACAAGAGTCCGTCCCATCCTCCAGGAGGATCGCCAAGGGGAGGGACTGCCACAGGGGAGCAAACTCATAATGGCGACCATCCAAGGCACCACAGAAAGGTGGGCGCTCGGGTCCGGTCGGGAACCAAAAGGGAAGAGACCCAAGACCAGTTATTAGAAGACAAAGACGCCGCCGAAGGGACGGTGCAGGTGCCGTGGGCGCGACGAGTGACAGGTGCTTGGCAGCATCCTTCCGGACCCCCCCCCCACTTGAATGTTGTATGGCTGTGGCTCAAAATTAAAGAGCCTGGGTTGCGCATGTTTTAGTCGTTGGTTCCATCTACCAAGGTGCCATTTTGGCACATGTTTTTGAGCCACAGCCGTATGGGACGTTTGTGAGTCAGGGGTTGAATCGCAGGACAGCCGCTCGCGGGACTTGGCGAAGACGCTGCACGTGTGGCTCAAAGAGGATACTCCATTGTTCAGTGGCGCCCTTTTCCCTTTTTTTGGCGGCTGCCCCACTAAAATGGTCTTCCCCAAAAAGGGTTCCCTTTTTTTCTCCAGGGTCACTGAACAACGGAGGATATGCAGCTGGCGCTTCCGGAGTATGACGGCAGGTCGCGGGCGGTGGCTGTGAGCATCTCATCTGCAGTCAGGTTGTGTTTTTTGGATCATCCCCCCTATTTGGTGGGTTTTAAGGAAGGTCTCTTCAAAAGTGATTTGCATGTTAGGGTAGAGTAAAGATGAAACAGAGTCGGAATACAATAATGTTTGGAGTACCCGAGATGTGGGCCAAGTTTTTGTGGGGAACAAGGGGCCCCTTTTCGTTGGTTTCAAAGGGAAACGAGGGGAAGCCGGTCCGGTTAAACCACCTACTTTGTGGGTCCCCTAATGTTGAGACAACCCAAAAGCCCTAAGTCATGCATCGTTCTCAACAGCTAGAAGCTATGGGGCCTTTGCCATTCTGACTCCGGAGTGGTTCGGGTCAGCTTTCAGAAAAAGTTTCGCATGGTTCCGGAAAGTTCCGAGGCTGTCTACAGGGGATATCGTTTGTTGTTTGTTTGCGTTGGGGGGGAGGGGGCGGGGCGTGTTTTGTTGGGGGTGCCCTTGGTGGTGGCTGTGAAATGGAGCAAGGAATGTCCTGAGCAGTGGGTATTTTGTTGCCCAACCACTTTTGCCTCCTTACCCTTGGTTTCTGATCTCAGATTCAATCCGTTTCAGAGGCATCGAGAAGTCGAAGAAAGGATTCCTTTGCAGGCATTGCCTTTCCAAGTTTTCTCTATTTACAGCTAAACTAGAGTTTGAATGGAACTCAATACAGAAAGGTCGCGTTGGTGGTTCTTTCAATTTTGTCAACATTGTCAAAAGCCGAAAAAAATAGCTCGAGACAAATCCAAGTTCAGTTATATGTCAACATCATTTACTTGAGTAATTAGTTTCTTATTACATCATATATTCAGGAAGTGTCTAATTCAAGATTGCAGGGCAGCCCTTTTGTATGATTCTTAGGCTAGGGTTTTGACATGCCCAACTCCGGCCCTTCAGGGACGCATAGTTGTTTCCCAGCCCGCCCCCCCCCCCTCAGCGGCTTTTCTCCCAAAGTTGGGGATGTAAGAAAGCAATCCAAGCAGTTGTTTCATGTTGACCCCTAACACCCAAGCCTCCACTTCTTGAAAAAGGTCCCTTTTCAGATAAGGCTCGGGTTGATATGAAGCCGACCTTTAGGATAGGACTGGGGGTTTACAGGGGTCAAGAGAGGAATAAACACTTCGATGTGTTCTCTATGACTAAAAAAGATGGTTTTGACTTCGATTCTAAGGGCCCATTGCCCCCATACCCTTAAGAAAGTCAATCCACGGAAGAGAGTGAACAGCTCGAGGGACCTTCGGCGCGTGGCTGGGGCTGCTGCGCGCCAGCAACCCCCTCTTCCCGCAGAAGAGAGCCACGAGAGCTCTCAGGCGAGGGATGTTGGAGCCGGGTGCTGAGGAGGGGGACCCCAGAAACCCAGCCTAACGGGAGTGTCGGGTGTTGGGTGATTCTTCATAGATCAGGGACAAACATAAGGATTTATGAACCAGGGCCATGACCATGAGGAGCTTTGGCTGGTTGATTGTTTTAAAAAAGCGCCCTGGTTGACTGGGGATTGTCCTGTTTGGAGGAAATCCAGGTCACGTTTGGGGAAGCGCCACCCTTTTTAGTCCGCCGGGTTGATTAATCCGGGGGCGACAGTATCCTTTCTGGCGTGCTTTGGAAGAGGGAAGAGGGTTCCCCATAAGACAAACCCATACTGTGGGTGGACGAAATCCTGCACCACTCTGAAACCATAGGGAGGCATTGTTTGTTTGAATTTACAGGGGGATCATCATTGGGTTTCTCCTCGGTGGTGAGAAATGGATTTCGTCCATCCACTGGATCAGGTTACTCCGCCCCCAGGGCTCAGCTCTTTGTGCAGGGTGCAGTGCCCGCTCACCCGGCGCTTCCCCACGATCCACTGCGGGAAGCTCTCGCACTATGAGGACGTGGCTCGCCAGCGGATGGCTCTTCAAATTGGATAGCCCCCATGGGCTTCAGGATTTCCCTGGGCTTCCCCAGCACGCTACGGGGGTCGGGTGATTGTCTTGTACGTTTTTGATCTGGTTTTCTTTTGAAGCAACCACCAAAGGGTACCCTCAACCCAAAGACATTCCCATGCGAGGCAGATTCCCACTACCTTGGCCCACCAAGAAACACGGAAGTGCATACAAGAATGAGTTGATTGGACGACGTCAGGTTTACGTTTGGACAGGGATGGAAATCCCGGAGCTTTCAAAAAGGCACCATACCCCCCAATGAGAAGTGCCCGCTGAGCAGCCAGATTTCGACCAACAGTCACCGTTTGGAAGACCATATTCTGGGCTCGCCCTGTTTTGAGGGCTTTTCTTGTTTTCCGGCAAAAGGAACACCGAAGCCATTTTAGGGGGCAGGGGTGTTGCTCGGGACTTCCTCCAGATCTGAGGTCTACGTGTGCGTTCGCGAGATCTTGGATGTGGGAGACGGGCGCATGGACGAGGACAAGATGTGGCGCCTTATCCTCTGGATCTTCCTGGGGCGCCTCAGCCAGACATGGGTGTGAGTTTTGCTAGATACCCTAGTTTACACAATTTCCCTACATGATTTTCACCAGAGGGTTCCCAATTAGAGTTCATACCCACTTGGCGATGTATTCTTGGGCCGAATATACGTATGCATGAACCCACGTGCAAACCCCACGATTGTTGGTGAATTGCACTTTGATTGTGCTTTGATTCTGTGAGGTCGAAGTGTCCAACACAGTCTTGTTTAACCTACGCATTCAGTCTCTCACTCTGGCGCCAAAGGACATGTTTCAGGATTTGTCTTGTGCCTCAGTTTTCGAGCAGATCCGTCGCTTGGAACACCCTCCCAATGATCGATTCCGGGGTCACTGAAGATACCTCGGCGCTCGGACGGGATGTTTAACCGATATGGGGGGTGGGCTCATATCCCAGTTAGCAAGTTTCCAGGGCGACAAGAAGCTACCAAGTCCTTGGGGTGTTCAGCCGACAGTTCAACCTTTTGGCAAATGACTATATTCTCACCAATCAACATAGAACCTGAATGGGCGGGGGGGGAGGTCCTGGAAGACAATTGGATGCTAAGAAACCATTGGCGGGTTACACGGTAGCGTGAATGGAGGGGAGTTAGCAAACAGAAACAACAAGCAAGGCATCTCCATGTCGTTTCTGCGTGGAGCGACCGCCTTGCGAAACTAAGGAACGGCGGGTACAAGCATCAAGCCTGGCATGGTCTGAAGTGTCTTGCCTGGTAAAGCGGAGTGAAGAACAACGCAAGTAAGGGCCTTCCTTGTGTCCTTGGATTTAACCTTTTCCCCTGTTTTCCAAAACAAGCTTGTGTCCTGTCTTATTGACTGGAGAAAAACAAGGGAGAGAGGGGGGTTAGTGCGGGGCGGGGAGGGGGGGGGTGACTGGTGTTCCCACCCTTAGCATCATTGGAGAACCTCCTAGCAAAGCCTTGGGCCCATTTTGAGGTAAGTACCAAGTTCAAAGCAGTCAAACGGCAAGGGATCCTTGAAATGAGGATTGCCAAGTTCAAAACAGCTAAGGAAGGAACGGACAGTTCTGGTCCTCCGGTTTCGCTTTCACGGGCTCAGAGTTCACGAGGCTTCCTGTTCTGAGTTTCTTGAGGATACTCTCCTGGCCACCAACATGGAACCTGACGTTTCGGGTTGGAAGACAATTCTCCTTTAAAATGGACCCTCTGGCGCAATCCATGTTAGACGTATCCTTGTTCGGACTTGGAGATGAAGTCTCAGGACCACCCACTGCGGCAAAAGCTACCGCAAGAGTGTGCTCCAGCCCCTCTCGGTGCTTCGCTACGCCTCTCGGGCTTGCTAATCAACACATCAGGGTGATTCGGATGTTCCTTGAAAGTCAGCGAAACATTTGGGTCCTTGTTCTCCAGGCTTTCCAAGCCTGCCAGCTCTGAGAAAGATTCGCACCACCTTGGGCTCCTTTTGCGATTGCTCGCTCCCCAAGTTTTGCCAGTTCATTTCCAGGTCCTTGGCAAATGAGTTGGTCGGCGGAGGACCATAGGTCCAACAGCTCTGGGGGCGGCACATTTGTGAAGCCAACAGATTATTGGACTGAAGAGGGAGTCGGGTTCTCAATTTTGTTTCAGGATGGAACTTCATATTGACCGTGATTGTGGGTTGTTTGAGAGCGGCACTTCAATGGATGGAGTTCACCAGCGAGCGTGTCTCAAGACCGTACAAGATCCAAGCTCTGCTGGGTTGAGCTGATTTTGACTCATCTTCTAGGGGCAACACCCAACTCAAAACCCCACAGATGCAATGTGGAAAGCACACACCCCGTAGCTTTGGAAAACTTCAACTGGGTGGGGAACTCCAACGTGGGTCAAAAGTTGAACATTTTTGGGAGTCCCTTATAACGGGATGTGACACACCCCGGCGAGTTTCCCCGGGCAATGTGAAGATATGGAGCCCTGCACCAGGTCTCCATGTGCGTGTGTGCCTCCGGCGGGGTGATGCGGTGCATCGGCAGCGACGGCCTGGATAAGAAGTTCCGGCTGTCCTCTGCACGCTTCATGTGGCTGGTGACCCTTGGGTAAGGAAAGCCCGAGGTATTCAGTTTCCTTATGTTCCTCTCTGGCTTCCTTTAATTTCTGTTTTTTTATTGTGTTCGGCGATTTTCTAGGGGATTCCGTTGGTTTCCTTTGGTTTGCAGCAAGACCAAACAATCCCCAATGAATTTCATCCTATCCGAACATGGTGTATGTGTTTTCACTATTCGAATCAACCCAAAAGAAGGGTTCCGGTTCTTGTTTTCGAATCACTGGGCTGGGAAGCAAATAGTCCGCGTTCTTAGGGATTTGCCTCCAAACGGAATATGGGATCCCGAGAAAAGACACACCTGCGCACACAATACCCTGCAGAAGGACGTTTTAAAGTCAGTGTCCACCTCTTTTGGACATGATGTTGGAAAGAGACTCCATCCCCCTCCCCCCCGCCACGTTTTCTGGCTCCTTTCGTGTCGACCACAATGGGAAGATCATGACTGAATAATTTTCGTGAGATATTGACTGAATTTGGTTTTAGCCCTCTCCCACCAAACAATCCAATTGTGATTCTTTGGACCCCTACATTCTGTGTGCCACGGTTTCCTGAATAGGAACCCTCAGGGTGGCTGTCTTACATCCCTACCAAAACAGCGTTTAAACAGAACACTATATCCATAACAGAGTACAAAGGGTACTCCTCGGTAAGAAGTTAGCACATGGTTCCAATTCTTGGCTCAAATCTTAGCTCTAGCTGTGCCTGGCTCACCTCGAGCTGAGGAGCTGGCACCGAGCGGTGCCATCCCTGGTGGAGGCATTCAAGCGCTCTGCGGAGGCATTTCGAGACAGGCGCTGTTGGAGAGAGGGTTCTGGGTGGGGTCGTGTCTGTCTTTAGATCTTGTTGTGGAGGGTATAGGGGTGTGCGTTTTTTGAGGGTATATTTTGCGGGGTGAGTTTAAAGGGAAGCCAACATGAACACCACCTGTTTTGGGGGTCCCCTATTTTGAGATAACCGCTTGTGTTCGTTGATTTAGCTTTCAAAATATTTGAGTCCATTCCCCTCGCATTTTGCTCAAGAGGCAAGTATTCGTTCCGAAAATACAAAGCAACCCAGTTGTGCAAAGCAACCCAGTTGTGAAATGTGGCCCCTTACAATCCCTTGTTGTTTCGAGGGTCCCCCCACAATAATTGTCAAACCCCAAAAGGATTCCTGAGCAGAAAGTGGTTCCCCCTTCCGAATTAAAAAAGCAATAACAACAAAAGGACCAAAAAGAGGCAACCCCCTATCACCGGGCAATCCGAGGGGGTTGTTGTGGGTTGCTCGGAGGCTCTGTACCATCAAGGGCTTGCGGGGCGACCTCACGCAGAAGGCTTCCACCAGAATTCCTCGCGACGGGGGTTCTGAAACCTGGGTGAATGAAGGTTGATAAGGGACAGTCGCAGCCACCAATAGGTGGCCGCCTTCATGATTCTGTTCATCTTGGAAACAGCTCGTTAATACCAGGCTTTGATTCTGACTCAACTGAATTTGGGCCGATAGACAACTTTCTGACCCTGGAGCGGCAGTTTTCGAGTCCGGAACGGTTCCGGGCGGTTCCAGGGCTGGGGCTGCCACCTAGCCTATGGGTTTTGGAGGCGGGCAGATGCTCCTTGGGCTCCAATTGGAAATCCCTTTAGGATGGTTGGACAGTGGCATACTTCCACTTGCTTTCGCTGTGCGTCTTCTTTGCTTCTTTTTTGTTTAAAAAACAAAAACATGTTTCTTCATGCTTCAAGATGTTGCTTTTGTCCAACGTGGCTTTATGCACAAACGACTTCTGGAAGACAAGACCTTCTCTTTTTTTAGAAAGGGGGTCTGTGTAATAGCCTTAGTTTGGTTAGGGTATATGCCCTGCATATTTTCTATTGACTCAGGGAGACCTTGGGCCGTTCACCAGTCACAGAAATGATCAATCGCGCAACCTGCGGGATGTTTTTGTTGCAGGAGCATGTCTCAAAGCAGTGAACATGCGAGCCCTTCCGCTCGCCTTTTCCGAGGCTTTCTCCGAAGAAAAACAACAAGCACCTGCGTTCGCTAGTCGCTTCGCTTTTTGGCCGCCGATTCAACCAGTGTGCTTTCTGGATATCTTCCCATGGTTTTGAATGGATGCCCGAACACAAAGGGTTTCTTTCCAGACCTCTTGGATGATTTAAGCGATTCCAACAAATCGATTGCCATTGTGGGCAATTTCAAGTTCCCCATGTTCAGACACACAAATCAACGCACTGAAAAAGGCGCCTGTTGTCAGACACCCCCAAATGAACCAGATGTTCGAAATTGGAAATGGACCGTACTTGGCATTCAAGTTCCATTTACTCCAAGTTTCCACCCTCCTATTTCTGCCAAGTAAGACCCAAACTTACGGACTGAAGGTCTCATCTGAAGGGGAGGAGAGTAGGGCTTGGATTGTATGACCTGGAATCCCAATGTTTCACGTAGTCACACCCAAAGCGCTCTGCAACAGTCATCCGCCTGGCCACAAGTGCTCCAAAAAGGGGCCTGACAAGGGCTCCCGTTTGCACAGATTGACCGGCACCAATTTGACCCCGGTGCCCAAAAAGGCTGTTGCACTGCCCTCCGTGGGCCGTGGAAAACAAGAAACCTTTGCCCGTCAAAACACAACGTGGCAGTTAACCACGTAGAAAACACGTTTGGCCCAATGCTGCTCCTGGTCAATCAACGTATGGAAGCAAGTGGATCAACAAGCAGAGGACATGTCTTATCCACTTACTTCCAACCACACAATTATTGCTTCCACTTGATTTCGTGGATAGAACCAACGTTTGGCAACTACCAAATTGCTGAGCCAACGGATAATACCCGTAATCGGTGCACTTGGAAGCCCGGCGTATAATTCAGTGGAACCATGTGCCAGCTGGTTAAGCGAAAGACGTGCCGAAACGTAAGCCGGAATAACATGCTCTGGAATGAATTTGGGCTGGGGAGTATTTGTTGAAGCCGGAACCTGCACAAGAGTGGGTTTCGGGTCCTTCGGCCCCGAAAAGGGCCGCAAGGAGATCATGGTGATCCTCTCCTGTGCTCGAAACCCGGCGGTGCGGAAAGTGGGGGAGGCACGGCGCGTCCAAAGCTTCTTTGGGTTTGGGTCCCCCTTTTGGTTGGGAGTGAAGCCAAAAGGGAACCGTCCAAATCCTTGACAGAGCCACCCAACCGTCCAAATTCTTGACATTTCAACAAAACCCCGTTTTGCCCAAAACGTGGCAACGCCCCTCGGGGTTCGAGGGTCCCGTTTTGGACCTTCGCGCTTGAAAAGCCGCGTCGAAGCCTTCAGGCGATTCTGCCCTTCGGGCAGGGCGCGAAGAACGGGGCCAAGGCCTTCCTGAAGGCGACGAAAAGAACGGCTGTGCTTCTTGAAATAGGTGGCTCCTCTTTGTAGGAAATGGCTGTTTCTCAAAAAACCGATACCAAACTGGAACCCTGGTAAGTGGAAACATGGACCAACGCCTGCATATCCCCTGCTGTTTAATTTTGCACACTCAAATGGCCCCAGGTGGTTTTGTGTGTCTTGTTTCCTTTTGGAGTAAAGCCAAAGGAAGCTACAAAAGGGGGTGCAAAAAACTGACACCCAAAGGGACTTTGACATGGTACTGGGGTTGTGTTTGAGACCCAGAACAAGAAGCCAAAAGGGGATAGTGCGTCTACAGACCCGCGATTTAAAGCCCAGTCAGTGTGTATTTGGGGATTCCCATTTGAAGACCAATGAGTATGTTGCAAGTGTCACTTAGAATCCTGCCAAGAAAGGGCAAAGCACCCCACACAAATAGGTGAAGTTGTTTTTGTTTCCCTTTTAGCCTTAATATGCTCACTTCCCAACTTGCCAGACTAGTTACTTTTAGCTGTACTTGAAGGTTAATCCACTCATGAATGAGTGAGTAGGAGACTAGAGTGGGGCAAAACATGGGTTTGTGTCAAAGCATTGTTAAACAACCAGACCTCCTTTTTTTAACGGGACACCAAGAGGTTGTTGAAACACGAGCAGCGTTCTTTATTGGTCAGTTTACAGGCGGTTGTATAATCAGGTTCCTAGTTTTAGGTGAGGCATATTGAAATATCTGTACACTCAGGTTGGCAATTAGGTTTGTTTAAACCCACAAATTGGACAATAAACCACGGCAATGGGCGCGCCCGCACCAATTTCATGGACAAAACGCCTCGGGTGGGAGGTGCCGATGAAGTACGGGCGCGAGGCCGCGGAGCACTACAAGAACCACCTGGGCACCGCGGCAAATCCAGAAAAGTCGGATATGCGTATGATTTTGTTTGAAGGGGACACCCCTAAATGGTGGTGATTTCCTTTAAAGCCACGAAAGAAAGGGGGACGCACCCCTTTTTGGATAAAATATGGTGACCCTCACTGCGAGAAGGTTGTCATCGCCGAGGCAAGGTCTGTGGGGAGCTGCAGGAGGTGATCAAGGACAGGGCCCAAGCGGGAGAGGGGGCGGGGAACAGGAATCAAAACCATCTTTCTCATATCAGGGGGCCGTATTGAATGCCACCTGACACTGCGTTCCCCTAAATCTGACCTATGGCCTTGCGGCCCCAATTGGAGGAGACCTCAGAGTGGTGTGTCCTTTTTTGGTGGGTTGTTTTGGGTGCCTTGGGCAGGGGATTTCTGGGAATGGGGAATCAAAACAACAGACGGTCATGTTTTGCAAGTTGGGGGGGTCAGGGCTGTGGGAGGCGGGAATGCATTTGGTCATGGATCTATGTGAGAAAACGCTCAACATGTCTATGGTCGTCAAATTGGAGAGGACACCCCCAACAGGGGCATACCTTGTTGGATTTTTTCAAATGTAGAATCTGGTGGTCATGTTTGAAGAAAACACCCGAGTCCTGTAGGCGACAACTGGTTGCGGTGTCCAGTCGGCAGCCTTTCACGTCCTTTGAAGGAAACCACTAAGTGGATAGTTTGCATCCACCATTTTCCTCGAAAGGAAGCCGCAACTGGATAGATGGCTTTCCATGTTGTTGTTGTTTTTTTGTTAGGACATGACTTGAGAGGAGGGATGAACAAGTATGCTAGGTTATTTTAAAACACGAAGCCAAAGGAACAACGCCAATCTCTAGCGTCCTCCTCCCTCCTATCCTGACCCAACTCAAAACAAGAACAAGACACTTGTGGCCTTTGGAGGAAAGGGATTTCCAGAGGTTTTTTGGCGGGGAAGGGCAAGAATGACAAGTGTCCACCATACAGACCCACCCACCCCATGGTTTGGGGTGAGAAAATTGTCCATCAGGTGAACCAGCCTAGGCTTGGGATCAAGTCTCTCAGATTGTGTGACTTTAGATCCCAGCGTTGAGCCCTTTGGAGAAAGCCCGGGGTGGAGGAAACCACCCTTCCGCTACACCTGATCGAAATCCCGGCAAGAATTAAGTCCCTTCACAATTTATCCTAAGGTTTTGACTTTAAGACCCAGAGCCACCAATTTCTTGACACATTTCATGATCTTCACCAATTCTTTACCAATTCACATGTGGGTTGATCAATATTCCTGGCCCCCAGTTTTGACCATGGGTCACTTTGTCTGTTTGGTGAAGCACATCCTTTTCGTGGTTTTACCCAACCCATGGTCCCATGAATTGGCAGCTTTTGCTCCCCCCTGTTTGTGAGCTCAGGAGCTCTTCCCGCAGCTGTCGAAGCGCCTGACCTCGGTGAAGCTCGGGGACGTGGAGCCCTGCCTCTGCGGCGCGGTGATCTACAGCCGCCAGGCGAAGCGCCTCCGAGGTGATCGGCCGGCGGATGGAGCGGCGGCGCGCCGCGAGGGAGGCAACCGGAAGCGGAGCTGGGATTGGGAGGAGGCGCGGCCGGGCCGTTGGTTTTTTTAGGTGCGCGCTGCTTTGTTCGGTTGGGACCCGGGTGGCGGAGGGGGTGAACTTCTGGTTTGTTTGTGAGTTGGGTGCATGTAAAGTTGCTTTGGGTGAGTGAAGGTTTTGTGGGACGGGGGGCTGGGCTTGGACCCTTAAACTACAAGAGAAGGAATCTCCCCCCGTGGCGCAATGTCCGCCGTTTTCAGCTAGTTTGAGGGTCCAGGCGACTTGGTGCCCTTGTTGGAGTCGTAAAGGGACACAGAAGGAAGCCCGTCATGTCAAAGGTTTTTCCTTTGAGACCGTTTGTTATTCTAAGTCGGGTTGTGAAGACATTTCTCTTTGTTATTGTTGGGTGTTGTGAAGTGGCACTGGGGGGAAGGGGGACGTTTGGAAGGCCTGTTCGAAGGATATTTTCCCGAAAGCACATGAGCAAATCAATGTTTTTTTTGACATGATCTTGCATAGGTTCACTTCTTTGTTTGACGGGAGGGGGAGGTGCGCTAATTACGTGTTTTCCAAATGGCCCAGGAAAAGTTAGATTTCCACGAAGGACACTCTTCCCAATTTATGAACTGTAGTATTGAGCGAGTTCAGCTGGGATATGTTTTAAATCTATAATATATCTTGAGGCTCACTCAGTATAGACCAGAATCATGTGATTTGATTTGAGTGGGCAGGGCAAAAGCTTCGGCAGGTCAGGGATTTAAACAAAACAACAAATGAGCAAATAAACAAAAGGCATGTGTTGAAGCCAGCAGGCTGGAAAAGATGCGTCAGGTTTTGCTATCCTCACCATCTTGTTCTTGACTTCCCCTTGTGTTCCGCTTTGTTTGTTGGTTTCCCTTCTTCCCCTCCTGTAGTGGGTGTTTCCTTGGTCCCCTTTCTGTGTTTGTCGTTGTTCCTTTCTAATTTTGTGGTGCTCTTCTAACAATGGGCCAACTTATTCTCAACGCACGCCAAACCCCATTCAGGCCCTTTTAAAGGGCTCCAGATTCTTTCTGAGGGCAGGCAAAAAGGTCCAACCTGCCTCGGCGTGCCGGTTTTTTCAGTGCCCGCTTTTTCGTTCTCT